TTGCTAAGGAAGGGGACCCCATATTGTGGGCCTTTTGGGAGGCACTGAAGGAAATATCCTTCTCCATCCTTCTCCATCGTCTCCCATCCTTCTCCATCATCTCCATCATCTCCCATCCTTCTCCTGTCCTTCTCCATCGTCTCCCATCCTTCTCCATCATCTCCATCATCTCCCATCCTTCTCCTGTCCTTCTCCATCGTCTCCCATCCTTCTCCATCCTCTCCCATCCTTCTCCATCCTTCTCCATCCTCTCCCATCCTTCTCCATCCTTCTCCATCATCTCCCATCCTTCTCCATCATCTCCCATCCTTCTCCATCCTTCTCCATCCTCTCCCATCCTTCTCCATCCTTCTCCATCCTCTCCCATCCTTCTCCATCCTTCTCCATCCTCTCCCATCCTTCTCCATGCTCTCCCATCCTTCTCCATCCTTCTCCATCATCTCCCATCCTTCTCCATCGTCTCCCATCCTTCTCCATCGTCTCCCATCCTTCTCCATCCTTCTCCATCATCTCCCATCCTTCTCCATCGTCTCCCATCCTTCTCTATCCTTCTCCATCTTCTCCCATCCTTCTCTGACCTTCTCCATCCTTCTCCATCCTTCTCCTTCTCTAAATTCATGGCAGCTGTCCCCCCACAAAACCAACCGATCTCTAGAGTGAGATTCTCCACATGGCCTTGGGAGCTGAATCAAAGCCAGACTCTTCCCTGGCCTCTGGCTCTGATTCTGATCTGCTAGCAGCCTTCAATCTTCCTGGCTCCCAATCTCCTTAACCAATGAATCCCTGGCTCTTTTCCTTCTCTTTTAGCACCCTGGACTAGGATACACTTGGGCCATCCCCAAATCAAGTGTGAACAAGTTCTGGGAGAACATTGTGCTCATGAAGCCTGGGCTCATCTGGTCACTACTGACTTCTGTGTGGCTTTGGAAAAGCTATTCAACATAGCAGGGCTTTGGTGTCCCTGTCCTTGGCAATCAACATTTATATTGTAATAAAGAGCTTCCAGAATGAGTCCCACTTCTTAGGTCTCACAGAATCTCTCAAAAGGAGTTAATTACAAAGCCAGGCAGTGGTGGCACACACCTTTAACCCAGCACTGGGGAGGCAGAGGCAGGAGGATCTCTGTGAGTTTGAGACTAGCCTGGTCTACTTAGCGAGTTCCAGGACCACCAGAGCTGTTACACAGAGAAACCCTGCCTTGAACTCCCACTCCCCTAAAAGGAGCTAATTACACCTCTTCTGACGACCATCACAGAGGGAGTTCAGGAACACGTGGGCTGTAGGCAACAAGAAACCAGACTTACTGTGCCAGACTGAGAGGGGTCGCTGGGCAAGGCCGCGCTTGTCTCTAAGCTGACAAAGGCTCACAGAGGACCCAGGATCTCTTCAAGCTCTTTCTTCTCTCCTTCCTTCCCCCTCCCCTCCTTATTTGGACACAGGATCTCATGTAGTCGAGGCTGGCCTCAATCTTTTGCTGTTCTTGCCTCTACCTCCCACACTCTGGAATTACAGGCAGGCATCCCAGTTTTAAGCTCCATCTTTTGCTGTTATTTGCTTTTCTTTTCTTATTTTTAGGAGACAGGATCTTCCTATGTAGTTATGGCTGGCTTTGAACTCACAGCAATCCACCTGCCTTCGCCTCCCATGTACTGGGGTTACAGGTATAAACTATCATACCTAGTTGCTTCTCTTCTCTCTCCTCTCCTCTTTCCATGCCCCCCCACTTCACTTCTTTATCGCCACCCCCCCATGTTTTTCTTTTGGCACAGGGTCTTACTCTGCAGCCCAGGCAGATCTGGAACTCACTATGTAGCTTAGGTTGGCCTCAAACTCGTGGCACTCTATTTGCCTCCACCTTCTTAGTGCTGGGGTTTCAGCAGTGGACCACTTCACCTTGCTCTTCAGGATCTTTCACCCTGATTCTTGGGGGACTTTGGCGCCTCCTGAGGCTCTTGATAAAACATAAAGATGGTGGGATTCAGGAAGGTCAGAGAGGAAGCTACCCAGGGTCTCTAGGTGGGGGCCCATGTGGGAAGCAACACCTCTGTTCCAGGACACTCAGCTGTCCTCAGGCTCCACTGGAGTCAGAGCCTGACAAAGGACACAGGCTAGAGTAGCAGGAATCAGACCCGAGGTAGGGAGGAGTCAGCGGAGCCGGCCCTGGGAGGCTGGTTGAGCAGTGGTGTGGAGACACCCTGTGGTGAAAACGGAAACTACACCTTGGTTCACTGAAGGGACTGAGAGCAAAGCCCTGAAGGTGCCCAGTAGCCCCTACAGTGTGGAACAGTGGCCCAGTTACTACCCACCTTCTAGTTCCACTTACCGGAAGCCTTACCTACTCATAAAACCTTGGTTTCTTCACCTGTGGAATGGGGTGTACCAGCAGGTTGCACCAGTTGAGGGGGCGGGTACTTAGCTCAGGGTCTGGCATGGAACACCAGCCAAAGAAAGGCTAGCCATTGCTAGAAAGGGACCTCTTTCCTAATGTCCCATAGTTAGAAGGGAACCTACCGTGACTCACAGGAAGCAGAGTTGGGACCCCAAGTCAACAATGGTTCTTAAGATGGAGAGAGTATATGCCATCTCGGGTGGGTCAAGACAAAGCTGATTGGCCACATGTTTTTCGTTAGTTAGTTAGTTAGTTAGTTTGCTTGTTTGTTTGTTTTGGCAAGCCTGCTCTGGCAAATAAGAGAACAGGATCTGTGGCAGCTGGGCTGAGTTGAGATAGACTGCCACGCTTCCACTTTTAAAGAGGAGACCATGGGCTGCAGTGATCCCAGTAGCCCAGTAGATCCAGCAAAGGCAGAGTTGAGTTGGGGCCATGGAACCAGATGTTACCCAAAACATCTATTTCCAGACTTAGCCAGGGGTGGGGGACAGTGTCTTTCACTTTTTCAGGGTCCTTCTGTCGCCTGCCCAGCTCCTATAGGAGACCTCCAAGGGGTCTTGGCCTGGACACGTTATGGTCCTTCCTCTATTCCCACCAGGGAATCTTGAGAAAAGGAAGTCGGGTGTGGCCTTGCACATCAGTGGCTCCAATCACGTGTCCTAACTGTGTTCAGGAGAGCTGGCCCTGCACCAGCCCTTGTTTTCTCCCTTCATCTTTAAGAGGAACAGCAGGAGCCAAGAATGAGCTGGGTAAATCAAGCAACCACTGGCTGGGTGATTCAAGCCCCTGGGGGTAGGGTGGCCTCCTGGGCTGGGATCCTGTCCAGAATCAGGGTGGGACCTCTCTGTGCAACATGCTAGAGCTGGCCCAAGGAGACAGGACTCCTGGGCCAGTGTCTTGGCGCTCAGGCTCCGCTGCTCCCTGCCCCATCTGCTCCCAGACCTGGGACCTTTTACAAGCATTGGCAGGGCTTGCCCATGGTCTGTCTGTACATATCTGTGATGGGTAAGGAGACTGAGATGTGGCCACAGAATGCCAGGCAGCCCACCCTGATGGATCATACTTGGGGCTGGCCAGCTTGCACTGCAGGGCGTTAACCTGGATTCCAGGCTCCTGATATCTGTTCCCCCAAGGATTGTAGAGGTGGGATTTGAACCCAGCCCAACTGAGTCCATACTTATTGCCATGGTACCTGGTAGTCCTTGTGTTTGGTTTTGAACAGAAAGTGGGGCTGTGGGCAGGGTTGGTGGGGAGCTGGGGCAGGAAAAGGAGTTGCAAGTCTTGATGGGCAGTGGGGACTTTGGAAAATGGGGCAGGCTGGGAAGAGCGGAGCCAGTGTGGTTGGTGATTTCCATGGGAGACAAGAATTCTTGGCCAGAGGTTAGAGGCTATAAGTGCCACCTCCAGAGAGCCAAGTCCCATGGGCACCCAGTACACAGATTACCACGACAGGGTTAGGAGCAGATGGTCAAGACAGAGACCATCCTAGGCTCAGGCCTGTAACTGGTCCTGACCCTCTTTGCTGGCTGAGCAGTCCCGCCACCTTGTTCAGTGTGCCATGGATGTTGAATTTTCTCACCATGACAAGGGTCAGGAAGATCTTCCTTAGGGCACCCTGGGAGTAGAGGGTGAGAGGTGGGGTGCCATTCAGTATCTGAACCCTGCCAGGCACCACAGAGGCTACTTCAGCAGCTGTCCCTACAGCCACTGGCCTCAGGCTCCAGGCGGAGGCCCGCTGTTGCTACCTATTGCTCTGGCGCTCTGTGGGTGGGTTAGGCCTGTCCCTCACGGTGGGCTCTGCCCTGGAGCTGACTATTTAAAGTCCCTCTGGCTAGGGAATTGCCAGTCTCTGGCACCCCTCCACCTGTCCCTCACCTGATCTTCGGTAGTTGGTTTCTTGGGCCCCTGATTCTTCACCAGATTGATGATAACAGATGCCCACCTCAGAAGGTACTTGGGAGCAGAAAATGAGGCACTATGTCCGTGTAGCAAGCTCTTGCTGATTGCATGCTCGGTGCTCACTGCAGGTGTACAGAAATGTACGAATTCAGCCTGATGCCTACCCCAGGGAGGGGCCACTCCTCTAGAGACAAGGACACTGAACCTGATAGAAACGGTGGTGGGCTTCACTGAGTAAGGCTCACAGCAGATCCAGGGAGAAGCCCCACTCCCAACACACGCACCAGAGGAGCCCCTGTTTAATATAGGAACCCGGCTGGAATATGAGTTTCAGAGCAGCTCTCTGCCTGGTACAGGGAATCCGAGGGCGATCATAAAACGCATCCCGGCGCTGGCCAAGAAACAGGCCTTTGTGGGGGAGGGGGGAAGCGGTCATCAAAGCCTAGCGAGCCGGGCCTGGCCAGCCAGAGCTGGGAGCCTTGGAGGTATCTGCTTCCCACCGCTCCCATGGCTAGGCAGCCACGCTGCTGCAGTGCCTCTCTTCACCGCACGGGGGCGCGCGCCCTCCCACTCCTCTGGCCCTCTTTAAACCCCCTTTTCTGGCCTTGTGTCTTCTTTCTTTCTGCATTTCGTTCAGGCAAAAAAGATGCCTACAGCGTGAACAGTGCCTTCTTCCCTTCGACTGAGTCATTTGACTTGCTTTCCCATCTAGGAGCCATGATGGTGACGCTCAGAGCCAAGACACTGGTGGAAGATGGTCGTCCGTCCACTAAAACGCCTACTCGGTGCGGAGCTCCCCATGTGATGGCCAGCGAGACTTTGCCCAGCTGTGGGTCATCTTACGGACTTGGGGGTCTGCCTCCTGAGAGCCATGGGAGGCTACTGCAGGGACTTAGGTCAGGCAGGGTGTGACGGAGGGAGGTGGTGGACAAGGCTGCTGTGTGGAAAATGGAGCTGAGTGAGCCAGGGTGCTGTGGAGACAGCGGCTACCGCATTAGAGAGGTCCCAGTGGTGATGGTGCCAGGGCGCGTGCTTATAGAAGCCAATGCATATATCTGAGTGTGGTAGCACACTCTTGTAATCCCAGTATTCTGGAGGCAGAAGCAGGTGGGTTACTGCAAACTCAAGCCCAGCCTGGGCTACATAGCAAGACACAAACAAAACAAAAACAAACAAAAAAAACCCAAAACACCAGCTGGGCAAACTGGTTCATGCCTATAAATCCCAGCACGTGGGAGGCTGAGGCAGGAGGATTGCAACAAGTTCAAGATCAGCTTGGGCATTAGAGTGAGACTCTGTCTCAAAAACAAAAACAAAAACAAATGAACAAACAAAACCATTTCCTCTCCCAGGCAGCAACACATGAAACAGTTCCGCATCGCAGCTCATTCATGTAATTTTATCACTTGGGAGACTGAACCAGGAGGATTGCTGCAGGTTCAAGGCTGGCCCTGGCTCCAGTGTGACACTCCATGTCAGAAAACTTAAATAGGCAAAGAAGACCAACTGACCCACTAACCAAGAACCCAATGGCACGTATTTATTGGTGGGAGACAGGCCATGTAGCCTCTCCTCATTCTCCACAGCCACCTGAAGTCGTCCCTTGCTGGATCCTAGACCCTCTTCCCTTCCAGAGGACCTGTCCCCAGGATGAGCTTGTCTTGAAGCTTCATTCAAATGGGCCACACCACCACTAGGCTGTGAACACAGCCACATTCACCATGCCTGCAGCCGAGTTCTTGGCAGACCCCCATGCCAGCCCCAAAAGGCTTTTACACCTAGTGTATGTATGCGGGGGATGATAGGGTCCCAATTTACAGTCCCTCTTGCTTTCTGATCCAAGGCACAATCAGAGGCAATCCATCTCCAGGGAACTGACTCATGATAAACTTCTAGAAGCCCAAATAAGAAAGCATAATGGTAAAGTAGTCTATAAAGGTCTCATAGAGTTGCAGGACACAGTCCCAATTATGGTAATTTTATGGCACGCACACACAGAGATCAGAACAGTGCTGGTGTCGAGCACACTGGCTATGGCCACACTGAATGTAGAGGACGTGCAGGATTTAGGTTGGCCGTGCATGTGTGTCTGGTGTGTGGATTATCTTCTCAGAATTAGAGATGGCTCATCCATCCTCGTGCAATATTTCCAGGAAGTCCCTGGGGGAGGCCTCATGAAGTCTTCTGCCTCCCACTATAAAGTGCCTCTCTGGCACCTGGGAAGTCTCTGCTCTCCAGAGCGTTGGGGTGTTCGTAGCTGTCCCCAGGATCCGCTGGGTGACAGCAAACATCTTGTCTCCGTTCTCTTCTTCCTGACACTGATTGCCTTTGAACTCTCACAGTCTTTCTCCAAACAGAGTTATGCCTTCTCAGACTGCTCTCTCCTTCCTGTTTTTGAGACAGTGTCTCAGGCTGAACTCGTTATGCAGCCCAGGCTGGTGTCAAACTTGTGGCAATCCTCCTGCCTCAGCCTCCGGTGCTAGGATTACAGATATGAGCCACCACACCTGTCCAATTTCTCACTCTGTGCATCATCCATTCTGCTGCTCAGCGGCTGCTCATCGTGCATCTTAGTTCCTGTGCCTGAACATATGGGCTTCCAAATCCTTTCAGCTTCCTGTTCGTGGACAGTCCCTTGGGTCACTTCTCTACTCTGCTTGTGTGGTCACTACCCAGTCTGGTTCTCAGAAGGTCACCCTGGGAGGCTCCTCTGGCCACAAATGCTGGCAAACCCATTCTGTGTGGCTAGGTTTACTGCTAGCCACCTTCCCTGGGCCTGATGATGATGAAGAGGAGGGGGAGGGGAGGGCTCACATTTGTGGACCTCACAGCTTGCAAACTACATACTTCTATTTGATCTTTAGAGCAATATAATAACTCTGTGAGCTACAGCGATCCTGGCACACCAGAAACAGAAGTTTGGAAGTTCCGAGTAGTGGCTGGCATGATAGCAGCACATATCTGTGATATAGCAGGTTCAGAACTACATGAAACACTCGGGGCCCAGCCCCCTATTTACAGTACCCCTCTGCTTTCTTGTACAATGTGTGGTCAAAATGAACTGTTATGTCCAGGGGCTGCTGATGGCAGTGATCCCATCAGCACACCACACTGGTGTGGCCAAAGCCACCATGACACCACATTGGTTGTCTTAAAATAAGACAAACTCAGTTCATGAATGGCTGGTCCGTGGTGTGTTCATATCCAACAACAGAGACAGAGTAAAAGTGTTTGTAGGGTGAGAAGAGGGAGAGAAATGGGAGCCTTCCAAACTAGAACAGAACCCTCCCTCCCATCACCCCTGGAGGCGGGACTTGGATGCTGAAGTTGGTAATTAGTCCTATGACTTGGGCCAGTCACATCATTTCTATGGCAGCCCTCCATTTCCTCTGGGCCAAAAGGAATAATAAAGTTTTGGCTTCTGTAATGGAAAAATAGCTTGGATCAATTCCCCAACCTCAATCAGCCATGGAAGGCAGCAGTTTTAAAATCTGGACGCGCACACAAAGTGGGTGGGTGCAGATGTGTCTGCATGGGTGTGTAGATCAGAGGATCGTCTTCAGTATTGTTCCTCAGGTGCCATCCACACTGTTCACCTGGTTTTTGCCCACCTCCAACCATGGGGAATTGAAACTAGGACCTCACATGTGCTGGTCAAGCACTCTACCACCAAGTTACACCCCTCAGAAATCCACCCTGCTTTTTGAAACAGGGCCTCTCACTGGCCCTAAATGTGCTGATTTGGTGAGGCCGGCAGGTCAGCATCAGTCTGCCTCCAGCTTTGCAGTGCTGGGACCACAGGGTATGACACTGAACTCACCTGTTTTAGATGAGCTGTGAGGACTGGACTCAGCTCCTAGTCCTGGCAAGACAAGCACTTTACTGACTGCATTCTCCAGCCCTAGACAAATACATTGGAAAAAAAACGAGAGAGATAGATTTATTTATTTATTTATTTATTTATTTTTATGTATAATTTTTTTGCTTGCATTTATCTTTGTGTACCATATGGATGTCTTGTGCTTGAGGAGGCCAGAAGAGGGTGTTGGATCCTCTGGAACTGGAGCTACAGATGGTTGTGAGCCATCATGTGAGTGCTGGGAATCGAACCTGGGTCCTCTAGAAGAGCACTTAGTGCTTTTAACCACTGAGCCATCTTTTCAGTTCCATACACAAATATTTTTTTTGCAAGTATTTGCAAATGTCAAAGAATAATCAAAAGCAAGCAGAAACTGAAATTCGATTTGCAGGGAGTGATTTTGTGAGTGAAGTTTGCAGTTCTACAAGTCTGAGGTGTTAAGGTAGGGCCATGAGAGCATTGGCGTAGGGCTTTCAAAGAAAAGGTGCTGAAGAGGGGCTGAACCTCTAAAGTAATGCAAAGTACGTTTGTATAAAAATTAGCTCAAATCCTTGTTGCTTACTAAGATAGTAAACTAGATCATCAAACCTGTGAGGGAAATCTCATACACAAAAAAGTGACATGTAGAATTTAAGTAGAAAGAAACAAGCAAAGATGGCATGCCTTGCTTAAAACAGTGGAGATGGTTTGGAGTTTGAGTCCAGCCAGATTAACTGACATCTGGAGTGAAAGTGATCCTTCAGAAGACTATAATAAAATCCAGAGTCTCTGTGACATATCATGGTGCTCAATATCTAATTGGAAGTCACTGGGCACGCAAAGAAATATCATGTCACCTGCACTTATTTTAAACACTGGTTGATCCCAACCCTGGGATGACCTATTTTTTTGTGATTAGTGGATAAAGATTTGAAAGCAGCTGTTAAAATATGTTCAACATCTGGACCTGGCGGCGCACCCCTGCCTGCAATCTCATTTACAGACTGGGGCAGACTGCTTGAGAGCTTGAGGCCAGCCTGTGCTGCAGAGTGAAACAGCGTGTTTGATAATTTAAAGGAAAAGATACAGATTATGAACGAGCAGGTAGGAGAGCCTGGGAAAGAAACAGATGCTGTACTAAAGAACCAAGTGAAAATTCTATAGCTGAAAAACCACTAAAAAATAAAGTTAAAATGTCATCAGATAGGCTTAGCAGTAGAGTGGAGATGTTAGGAAACAGAGTTAGTGGACCTGTAGGTAGATCACTGGCAAGGATTGTGTACAACGTGAGTGACCTGCCTAACTAACATCAGTCAGCTAGTTAGGACAGAGCCGAGTCTGGGGTTGTGGCACACACCTGTAATCTCAGCACTTGAGAGGTAGAGGTGAAAGTCAGGAACTACACAGCGAGTTCAAGGCTAGTCTGAGCCACAGGGCAGCCCATATAAAGAACAAAAACAAAACAACAACGAAGAAATAGCAGGCCTGAATGAAAATTTATCAGTAACTACATCAAATTACAGTTGATGATACTAAATAGATGAATTAAACACTTTAATTAAAAGGCGTGGGTTATCCAACTGGAGATAGAAGCAAGGCTAAGTGTGCACTGACTGCAAGAGATACACTTGAAACACAATTTGGAAGCTAAAGGAGGGAGAAGGTATGCCATTGCGTTGGTTTATGGATACACTTGGCTTGGCTGTGGTACCCAGCTACTCAGTCATACAGTAACACAGGCATCCCTGGGACCCTATAAGATGCGGTGCTGGTCAGTGCTGTCTGTCAACCTGGTTGCATTGAGAAGTGCCTAGGAGGTTGCCAAAGCACACTTCCGGGTGTGTCTGTGTGTGCATGACCACAGTAACTTAACCAAGGAGGAAGACCCACGCTGAGTGTGTGTGACATCATTCCCCTAAGCTGGGGGACCGGGATGTGAGAAAGCCCACCAACACAGGCATTCTCCTGACCCCCTTTCTGTCCACTGCAGGTGACCAGCCTCTGTGTGTGTTCTCACTGCCTTGATGTTCAGCTTCACCATGGGTCCGGATGAGCCACAAGAACCACAGATGGAAATCTCTGGAACCGTGAGCTAAATGAACACTTCCTCCTCCCTTGGGTGGTTTGCTCAGGTGTTTGTCATGGTGCTGCACGAGCTGCTGAATACAGATATGGTTAATGCCAACACCGACTTACAGTGAAGGAGGCCCAACAGTCAAGGGCCTGAATAGCAAGTTGAACTTTCCTAGGAATACGAATTCTGCCTAAGGACGGCAGCCTCAGCTTCTGCCGAGAACTGAGCACTGATAGCCTGGCCCCCCTCACACATTTCTAACATGCCATGTCCTTAAAATTTTTCCTCTTCTTTCTTCTTCTCCCTCTCCTCTCTCCCCTTCACTCCCCCCTCCTCTCTTGATACACCACTCAAACAGAATTCTTCAAAAAGCTGCAGTTTCTATATTTGTATCAGATGAAACAGATTTCGAGACAGAGTGAAAGTGATATTTCATAATGATAAAAGGGTCAATACATTAAAGAATCACAATAATTACCAACACGTTCTAAAGCCTAGTAATAATAATAATTATAATCTGTACCAAATCTAATAACAGAGCTTCAAAATACATGAAGCAAAAACTGACAGAACAAAGAGAGAAATAGAGAAATTCACAATTACAGCTGCAGATTTTATTCTTCTTGCAGTAATTGATGGTGTAATTGGACACATATTCAGTCAGAATACAGAAAACCTGAATACTACTACCTACTTCCTTGACTGAATTGATGTTTCTAGAAATGTTACACATAACAACTCATTTCCTCCAAGAGTACATGGAACACTCGCCCTGATGCATCCAGGGCTGGGGATGCAGCTCAGTTGATAGAGTTTTTTTGTCTAGCATGTACAAGGTCCTAGGTTTGATCCTCAGCACCACATAAAACTAGGTATGATGGTCCAGGACTGTAATCCAAAACTCAGGAGGCAGAGGCCAGACCATCAATTAGTGAGTCCTGGTATATATACAAGAGATTTCTCAAAAATAAAAATATAACAGAAAGGAACAAACAAAATATCATAAGTCACATGTTGGATAAAAGAAAAAGTCTCAGATTTCTCAAGCTGAACAGCATGTTGGCTCACAGCCATAATCTTAGTACTAGGGAACTGGGAAGTCCAGAGGATGGCCTTGAGTTCAAGGCCAAGTTTGCATTACATGCAGAATTTAAGGCCATCCTGGGTGCCAGAGTGATAGCTCCACCTCAAACCCCCAAAAGGCAAAATGAAACCATAGAAGCAATGGAAATGCTATTCAGCGTTTTTTTTTTTTTTTTTTTTTTTTCTTTTCTTTTCTTTTTTCGAGACAGGGTTTCTCTGTGTAGCTTTGGAGCCTGTCCTGGATTTCACTTTGTAGACCAGGCTGGATTCACACAGATTCGCCTGGCTCTGCTTTCCGAGTGCTGGGATTAAAGGCATGCGCCACCACCGCCTGACTTCAGTGTGTTTTTGACCAAAGTAGAATTGAATTCAAATCTATAAGATCTTTACTAGATATTGATGCTTTATCATTATTATTTAGTTTAAGGTATTTTAAAATTTCTGTTTTAGTTTTTTCCTTTACCATGAATTATTTAAGGCATATATATGTAATTTATTATTATTATATATTTTATTTGTCTTTGTTTTGCTGTTTTTAGAGACAGGGTCTTTTTACATAGCCCTAGATATCCTGGAACTCACTATGTAGACCAGGCTGGTCTTGCACTCACAGAGATCTGCCTGCTTTTCCTCCTAAGTAATAGAATTAGAGGAGTGCACCACCACACTCAGCCAAGTTATATTATTTAATTTCAAACTAAATCCAGCAATACACCAACAATGGGGCTCTTAACACTTTTTATTTGTGTGTGTGTGTGTGTGTGTGTGTGTGTGTGTGTGTGTGTGTGTGTGTTTCTGTGTATGTTGTATTCACTTGTCAGTGTGGGTGCATGTGTATGTGTTTATGTCGGTGGAGTCGATTGCTCACATTTCATTTTCTGCTCTGATGCAGGGTCTCTCACTGAACTTGAAGTTCACCAATTCTGCTACACTAAGTGGCCCATGAACTTCAGGGGTCCACTTTACCAACTGAGCCATCTTCCCAGTCTCCACAGTGGAGTTTCATCCAATAGCTCAACCACAAATTGGAAATTATAATCCAAGAATGCATTTGAAACTGGGTGGTGATGGTGCACACCTTTAATCCTAGCACTCAGGAGGCAGAAGGAGGCAGATCTCTGAGTTTGAAGCCAGCCTGGTCTATCTACAGAGTGAGTTCCAGGACAGCCAAGGCTACACAGAGAAACCCTGTCTCGCAACCCCATACTCCTCCCCCCCAAAAAGCATTTGAATTGGGGCTATATGTCAGGGTAGAGCATTTACCTAACATGACTGAAGTCCTAAGTTCAAGCTCCAATAAAGCAAAAAATCTCAAATCAAAACCAACCAACCAAATAAACCCAGAACAAAAAGCAAAACAAAACAAAATATATTCGATATACTTAACCTACCGACCATAGTGGCTTAATAACACAGAGGCTGCACATCAGAATGCTGGCTACTTCTTCTTGTGATCCTAGTGGCTGACTGGGGAGCGCAGCTCTCCAAGGCTGCTCATTGTCATGGAAGACTGTGGTACTGGATGTCAATAGCCCAGGAGAAGATCAGAACTCAGAATTTGGACTGATATATATATTTCCCACCAACATAAAGTAAGACAAGAAAATCAGAAGTAGGACTTTCCTTCATAAGTAGGACATTGTCCATGCAAACAGTCCATATCGAATTAAATGTGTAGAGCAGTTACTGTAACCCACCTTCCTTACAGAATCAAAGTGAAAATTCTTACTATTTGTTTTAGAAAAATTCTGTGTATAAGAACTAGCTGTGAAAGGCAAATGGCTT